GCGTATTCTGGGGGGAGGGGGGGGGGGCAAAATTCCGCTCGTGATTTTATATGAGTAATGTTAATAGTTTATTTGTGAAATATGATATCACTCATGACACTTTATTTCTTGTGTTTATATGTGAAATGTATGATAATATAATATAATTAATGGCGATTTGTTTGTTTCTTCCTTATTTACATTCCAATTACCAAATACTCAAACCTTCTAGTTTCCACCTTCAAGCCTCTCATTTAAATAAGCACCTACCAAGTTCCGTCTTAGTTATGTCAGATAGACCATATACTCCGCCATTACGAGTCCGTAGTAGTCTCGTAATACCGGCAGTCAGAGGAATTCTATAGCAGAAGCAAAAGGAGCTTCACGGGGAAAAAATAGTCATAATAGTCGTCATAAGCATAGTTACCGGAAACGTTCATTATCATCTACGTCAGTAAGTCAATCTTCGAGCTCAGATGTAACTTCGAGTGATAGTAGTGACAGTTCCCTTAGTGATGTCGACAATGAGTCGAGAAAATGTCGAAAAAGGGCCAGATTTAGTGGAAATAAAAACAATAAATCAAAAGTATCATTAAAAGTACCGCGTAACAAAAAAAACAAGGACGAAATCACCTGTCGGACATGGGGCAGCCCTTTTTACAAAATTTGCTGAACTAGTTAGTAATAGAAATAGCAGCACGTTTGAGGGGGCACAAAATGTTATCCCACTTCTGATATTAAAGGTCTTTCATTCAGGTCTTCAAATAATATGTTAAGTAAACTTCTACAATTATTTATTTCTGATAAACATTTAAGACTTAGTTTTCACAATTAGTGCACGCGTGTGCTCACCTCGACCGCTCTAGCCACACGGTGCCCAGCCAGGCCCTAGAATACCTACTTATATCTATAGAATGACCGACCGCTCGCATCCGATCCAAAATAATTACAGATTGAATATAAAACTATAACATTAATTAAATAAATGCATTAATAATTTTGGATCGCTAACAATCAGGGGACTTCATTCCAACCTCAACGCTGTCCATTACCATCTGGAGACGGCGAAGCCGGCCTTGCTCTTTTTAACCGAGACTCAGGTGTCCTCTCCGGCTGATACTTCATATCTCTCCTATCCGGGATACATCGCACATCGCAACAAAACTTGAGATACCATCCATACCACCTGGATGATAGGCGGTCCACCACTGTGCGATTTAGAAGATGTTTTCTTCCTCGCACAACTTCCTTGTGGAATCGATTACCACAAGCGATTTTTCCGGACCGATACAACTTAGGGACCTTCAAGAAAAGAGCCTACTCCTTTTTAAAAGGCCGGCAACGCATCTGCAATTCCCCTGGTGCTGCGGTTGTTCATGGGCGGCGGTAGTCACCATCAGGTAAGCCGCATGCTCGTTTGCCCCCTCTCCTATATAAAATATATAATGTTCAGAATAAGTAATATAAGCAAATTAATAAAAAAAAATCTCAAACATTTTGTCCTTTTTATCTTTTAAATTCAAAATCAGTGGTAATGCCATAGATAAATGATAAGTCAAATGCATTATTTTAACTGATTTTACTGCACACTCACACATTCATAATGGTCGATCGGTAGGCAAAAACGTTATTGCCCTTAAATCACATTCAATTTAGGATAATTTCAAATAAAAGTAGAAGCCTTATTTTCTCATATTTTGTAAAATTGCAATAACGGCATATCATTATTTATATATTTGAACTTAAGTTTAAAAATTTAACTACACTTTAAAAAATAACCCTGTATATAAGAATGTCAAAGAAATATAAGATACAATTAAGTGAAACTAACCAGCCGGAGGGATTAAACCTAAAAGAGCTTAGAGTTTTCACTGATGGTTCTAAAACAATTGAAGGTGTAGGATCTGGAACCTTCTCGGAAAATCTCAATATATATATGTAGGTACTCACAACACAGTCTGTCAGGCATAATGTTCTGGTATCATCCAAGCAGCCAAAGCAATAGATGTTAGGAAGGTAAAAGGCTTTTCCATCAGAATGCTGACCAACAGCATGGCGGTACTACAAGCTCTGAGTTACAATGTGGTGAACTCGGGACTAATATATGAATGCCGTCAACAACAAAATGAGGTATGTAAACACAACAATGTAACTCTACAATGGACCAAGGGACACATTGGATCTAGGGGCAACAACGCAGCAGACGAACTGGCCAGGAGAGGATCGGCTATGGCCGTTATAAGGCCGGAACCAATCATACCGATCCTTTTTGGTAACGTTCGTTCACTGGTACGTAAAGACTTTACAAATCACACTGTCAGCTTTGGAAAAATTTAGTGGGCTGTAAGCAAGCTAGGCCCTGCCAGAAATAAACAGTCCTATAAACAAGGTCGTAATGAGATCGAACAAGCCAGAATAGCAACAAATTCTATTACAGGATATGACTCCTTTAACAAACATTTATTTACTATAGGTTTTACAGAGGGGGAGGAGGAAACGACGGTACACGTATTGCTGGAATGTCCGGGGATCGCTACATATAGGGCTAAGCATCTCGGCATGCCGGGATCACTCCCCGAAGTTGCTTGCAACATCAAAGGACTGTTGAACTTCTTCGGGGACATTTCATGGGTCGAATATTTACAATATTCCTACCCACACGCAAAAAACGGGCTTAGACGTGGAGCTGCGGAAAATAGCCAGTGATAAACTAAACTAAACTAACTACAAGAAAGTCATTCGCCTCGAGTTTCGCGTCGCCGCTCGTGACGCTCGCGTCGGGAGTGGTTTTTCGGACAAGTGACAAAGGTTTTTAAAGTAGTGTTTACACATTCGCCGTTTATTAGTTCATTTCGTAGCAAACGGTCTATCATGCTCTTAGTATTATTATCTCACGTGGTAGAACCATGATGCAGCTATATTATGGTTGTAGCACGAATGGGTCAGTTCGACCGGGGTACGATCACGCTCTCACAGAATACCAGCGTAAAATAGCAGCTCTGCTGTGTTTCGTATGGTGAGTGTAGAGAACCGGAGACCCTGTTTACTGGAAATGTAGCTCTTAGTCCTCAGCGGTGACAACGCATATGCATTTAGAATCTTAATTGAGGATAAATGTAGATGTCTATGGGCCACAGCAACCACTTACCATCATGTGGACTGTGTGCTCGTGTGTTACCCTATACTATAAAAAAAGAAACATAAACACAATGACTGGAACTACAATAAAGCTATGATGTTTTTGGAGGATATATATTTGTTGTATAGTCAGCCAGTCATTTAGAATCCAAAGCATGCTCATCATAAAAATAAGCAAAAAGTATACAATGCTTGAACTAGTATATCAGAAGTAATATATTTTTTTATATAAATGTGTAGTGCCAAATGGAAGTCAGTAGTCTCTGCCTGCCACTCTAGCTAACAGGCACAAGAGTATTTTATTTTTATATTCTTGTGTAACAGATGTGAGCGTTTATGTATAACGTCTTTTGTCCAATTTGATCCATAAATTTCCGTCTAGGCGTCCCTTGCTTACTCTATCTTTTACCTACTTAAGTAAGTGGCAAAGTAAGTAAGAAAACATTTATCTAGATTTTTATTTTGACTTAATCTCTAAGTATATCCAAGTCCAGGACTCGATTTACCTACATAAATAGTTTAAAGCATATTTAAAAGAAATGTAATATGCATCCAAGTAACTATTGTAGCTAAAACGTTGTGATTACTTATCGATAGCTATTTGTTAATCACTTGCTAATCAATAATAATCATGGATAGTATTTCGCTTAAAAGTGGGCGTGGGATCAATAAACGGTTATTTTAACGACTTTCCATTCGTCAATGTGTTAATTGTTATTCATTAATGAAAAAACAGGTTGAAAATATTAGCTGTCAATTTATGTCAATACACTCAACGCATTATTTGTTGGGGCTATAGTTTGGGCTCCACGGACTTTCATATAAGAAAAGTGCTGGTAGGATTTCACGGCACGGTTCTTTGAACGATGTCATCCGAAGGGTTCTTGTCTCTATAAATGTTCCCTCGGTTTTAGAGCCTTGTGGAATATTTAGAGACGATGGCAAGAGACCCGACGGTATGACATTAGTCCCTTGGGAGAGAGGTAAAGCCCTAGTGTGGGATGCTATTTGCGTAGACACTTTGGCGGCCTCTCATCTCAGGGGTACCTCGTTTACAGCCGGGTCGGCGGTCTGAGTAAGTGGCGCAAATATGAGTCTCTGAGAGATGACTACATATTTGTGCCATTTGCTGTAGAGACTATCGGTCCGTGGGGTCCACGTGCGGTGAAGTTCCTAAAGGAACTCCATCCGCGGCTGGTCTTTGCTACTGGTGATAAAAGGGCTGGTTCTTTTCTCGCTCAAAGGCTAAGTATAGCCATTCAGCGGGGAAACGCAGCCAGCGTTCTTGGCACGATACCGCGAGGAGTAGGACTGTATGATAATTAAGTTACTAGTTTTGGTTTTTTTTATATTATTATAGTTTTTAATATTGTATATAATAAAATATTGTATATTATGTTTCAATATTATTTTATTCATTTCTGTGAATTTATTTTCGCTTAATCGCGCGGTCGGCTGCTTGAATGTTAATTACTTTCGATCATTTACGTATAGATGGCGTAATTCTCTACTACTTTAACTTTATCGACAACAACCCACCAATCACATCATGAAAAGTGTCCTACTTTCGTGACGTCACTATTTCCACGTTGGAAGTTGTATAGAAATGTCATGTTAATAATTAATTCATGTTGTGTATATTTTTTATAAATTGATATTTCATTGTAAATAATGTTAATATAACACACAAAGTACATATTTCTGTCAATGTGTAATAACAATGAGTTAAAAAAATAAGTGAAAGTTCAACAATATCCAAGTATCGAACTTAGTAGAGCCTTACAAAACAAAATGACTTGTAAATTACGATATGAATAAAATTTTGGAATATCTATCAAGAAGTAATCAGGATCTTGACTGCGTAAATAAAAAATATTGACAAAATGGACATTTATCAACAGGAGGGATTAATGGTTCGTATCACAAACATTTGCAAGGACATTACACACTACAATACTAAATTGATAACGTATTTTTACATTCTTGTTATGAGAGCGCTACCGAAGAAATGATCGAATTTGTAAGTGCTCGAGCTATATATTAGATACACCGTGTAGCAATGAACGCTCGACGTGACGAACAGACCTCGTTGAACAGCTTTCGTGGGCTTACGTTCCTACTTTTACCGTTATACATTCATTTCGTTTTCGGATTGGACGTGGCTAGCTCGCCGGTATTTTTAATGCGTCCCCGGTCATTCCTTATCTAATTAACAAATCACCTATTGGGAAATAGGGATACACTAATTAAACTAACTCAAGGCAGTTGTCCGTGAATCATATCAGCATATCAATTGAGTTCAACGCAACGTAAACAGCAGTGATCAAGTGCCAGCTAAGCACCATGCGGTCGGCGATAATTCCATATGCCAGCTAATATTTTTCACTACATAACACCTAACGTAACAGGACTGGTTATATACTAGTTATCCAATTGGAGTGTGTCATCACTTTCTTCTCTCACTATTATAATTTCCTTAATTTACATATTAGAAGTGAATTATCTGTGTTTGTGTATTAGTGTTAAAATATCAATGTCAATAAAAGTTCAAAATGGATAAAAAACTGGATCTCTTGTCACTATTTGAGGTAATGTTAAAATTTGCAACTTACATTTAACTGAGGATTTGTCTTAAACTGTTTAATTTATATGTATCATTCAAATATGTTAGATGAAACAATGCTTCAAGTAAATTTCATCAGCTCGTAGGATATCAAATACTTTGAATATAAGCAAATTTTAAATTCATTAACTAAACCTTTAAAAAGGTATATTATTTATACATCTAGCGAACTAAAAATAAAATTTGCATGAGTAATTTACAAAGGACCAAGTAAACCTTAAACGACTAAGTAAACCTTAAACCTATGTAACTATCTCATTGATAGAATTTTTGTGAAGCTCAGCTGTCACTGGCAATGGGCATCGAGTTAAAGTTGTTGAGAATGTCTTAGCCAGAGTACCTTACCAAATAATTCGATGTGATGTCATATATCTTAAGCATGCATGAGCAACGAACTAACGGTTGCACACAAACCTGAAAGGGATTATGTAACCTCCTTTTTGGAAAAAAATCTATTTATATTTTTTATTAAAAAAAATTAAAATAAACAGTTATAAATGTGTATCATTTGCATATGAAAAACACTATTTTAAAATGTTTTAATCTAGACGACATTCTTAAAACAATGATTACTTTAGTAGGGAATTGTACCCTGTTCAACAAAAGGCTCACATAAACTGAAGTCTTACTATAGGCATTCTTTTTAGTTGTATGTTAATCTTAATACATAGTAATATAATATAGTATCATAGACTTTTCTTTAGAACGCTGACATGAACAATTCCACCTAACATTATTTTCATAACCTTTAATGGTTTACGCTGTGCATGCCATGAGTTTTTAGTAGACATTTTACTGATATAATCAACGAATATCATCGTAACATTAGCTAATTTGCAAAAATGGTTATAATTTGTATACCTAACCTACAAATGTATACTAGTTTGTCTATTGATGAAAACCAAATGTAAATCCCCACTGTGTTTTCTAAGATTAGTGAGAACATATATTCAGACAGAAGAGAGTAGAATTTAGATAAATTTATAAAATGTACTCGTATTGGTTACTGTTACAAAATTTAGTTTTGGTTGCACCTTTCTCTTTAGCCAATTGTAAGAGCAATTGAAAGGTATTATTATAATTTTTACAACTATGATACATAACATTCCAAAATTTCATAAACTATATAAAATAAATAAATTAGTAATAAGGTACTTAGTTTCATTAAATATTAATCAATAGTTCATTAGTTAATAATTAATTTAATAAAAACATATTCCTATAAAAATAACAAAAAACATTACAAAAAAATTCAAGCATATAATGTTGTAATTAAAATAGTAATTTTTTATAGAATTTAATTATACTATCATTTATAAATATACACTATTTATGTACAACAGACATGAAGTAGCAACAATATTAACAACATTTACCATTATGGTATGAAATATAAAATATATTAATTACAGTTTTATATTTAGCAATTAGTTGATGAGATGGCACATCTGACCTACTTAATAAAAAACACTATGGTGAAAAAGACCAAAAAGGAAGTTATCATAGATAGATATATAAATAGTAAATAATAAATCTCTAGCCTAATAATGTTCATAATATGTAAAGCTGGATTTCATAGATTATTTTTTGATGATTATGAACCTACAAAATTAATAAAAAATCTGTTTCATTTAGTTAAATTTATGTTACAGGGAAAAGTAATAATAGATATTATGTGTATGGATTACATCAAAACAACACAAACACAAATAAACACAAAATTACACCTAAACTAGCTACACTGCTGACTAGTTAAATTTTGTTTGATAAGAAAGAGTTAATAGAAAAGATATGAGCTAAATAAATTTAATATTCATATCATATATTTAGTAATAGGCTATTACACTGATTGTTAAGTTACTTGTGTAATTTGGTGGTAACTCATGAATTTTAAACTTTTTACAGTTAAAAAGCGTACAGTACAGTCCAGTCCAGTTCTGTTACTTCTTATCAAAAGTCCACTGCTGAACCTAAACCTCTTCCATAAGTTACCTCACAGGGGGGATATTTGTCATAGTTAGTATCGTAGTAGGCAACCACAGTATTTTATTTTTTCGTTATTAGAAGCTGCTGCCCATCCCCTGGTTTGTTTCCTTCTGTTGCCTCTTACTACACTTGGACGATAATGAGTGGTAGATATTATTACACCCCCACTATAAGGTCAATTTACAGTCCTTAAACATGAAAAGCTCTGTACTAGTAAACGGTCTTCTATGCCGTTTAAGTGCAAAGCGTATGAAAGACATCCTCAAGATATTTAAAATTTATGAATATGTGAAAACAACACTTGAGTTCTTACCATTATATATTTACTTTTCATCAATTTTTACCAAATGGTAGTCCGGAGTCCATCAGGGTACTGATGTCCACATACATACAGATACCACTGTCTTACCTATTTCTGCCACCAAATAGCAGTGCTTGCACTGTTGTGTTCCAGTGTGAAGGGTATAGATAGTCAGTATAGTTACAGGCTGTGAGCTTCTGTCTCCATCTGTAGCCTTCTTTGTTTAAAGTGTCCATGGACTGCAGCTACAGTAGCAACTTGCCATCAGGGTTTTTTTAATACAATAGGGTGACAACACACAGTTCACCTGATGGTAAGTGGTGGCTGTGGCCCATAGACATCTACATCTATCCTTGTTTGCGAATCAAAATGCAGATACGTTTGAGGACTGAGATGGAATGCCTCGTATCCAGTAAAAGGGGTCTCCGGTTCGCTACACTCACCATACGAAACACAGCAGTGTTAAAGTACTATTTTACGCTGGTATTCTGTGAGATCGTGGTCCTTACCCGGTAGAGCCGACCCATTCGTGTTACAATTATACTACTAATATAGCTGCAGCATGCAGCACTGCAGCACGTATAGACTGTGAGTTTGATTGTCTCTTCAGTTTTATAAAAAATATTTTTTTTTAAGTCCTGGAATAATTTCTTACCCCCTTTGTATTTCTGTTTTTATTAATATTTTAGTATTTCATTTTAAATTATTGTCATTGTTGAAATTTAATTGTTGTTAATGTTTATAGAGTAAGTTTTAGAAAAGTGATGTAACAATTGCTATTCAAAGTTGCAATACGTTTGATACTACTATAAAGTTACAGCCTATATACGACCCACTGCTGGGCACAGGCCTCCCCTCATTTCTGAGAGGGTTTTAGGGCAAGTAATGTCCGCAGAGGTGCCCAAATGCATGTTGGCGAACTTTACATGTCTTTAATTTTTTTTTACTCCTGCCAAGCATGGCAAATCTTTCCTAATAGGAGCAATTCATTTCCAGTTGCAGTTGTTCTATTTAGATGTCTGAAGAATAACAATTGTATGCAGTTTTGATTTGTGTTCTAATAAAAAAAAACATTCTTGCAGTCTGATTCCTGGCAGGCATCAGATGACCTCCTGGAGAATATTTTCTCTCTGGATCAGGGATCATTCAACTTTTTGGAGGAAGCACTGCCTGATTTAAACTTGGGACCGGACTATGGATCACAACCTGAAGGGCTCAGTAGCTCTTGTTCAGACAGTGGATTATCAAGTGATCAAGCTGAATTGTGAGTTGATTCCCATTTTACTATAACTTAGAATATTAGTCAATATGTCTAACTTAAACAACTTAGTGTGATTTACATTTTTTATTGTTAATATCATCATCATTCATCATCATTACAGCCTATCAAAGTTCTCTGCTGAACATAGGCCTCCCCTATAGATTGCCTAACCTACTGTTAGTTAATTGTACTATGCCGTAACATTCGCACACCATATTTTCCCGTTTATCGGATCGAGGTCTTAAGAGACGACAAAGCATGTCTGCCTAGCATGGCAATCATGTCAAATATTCCCCCTATGATACAATCTATGGGGAAGGCATATGTTTAGCATCATACTTTTGAAAGGTTATAATAATTGAACAAATAATTATTTAAGGTGGAAGCTCCAGGGTGGCCCGCGAAATTCAAATTTTCTTGCGTTTTTTGGAATTTGCAGGTCAGGGTCAGGTTGTATATTTAACCAAATATGATTCGCAACCGTGAGTTTTTCTGGAAATAGCCATACAATGGGATTATACAAACTTAGAGGGTTGTATTGATGATTATAATGATTATAACTCTCTAAATACATACTCGTTACGGTCGCGAATTATATTTTGTTAAACATACAACCTGACCCTGACCTGCAAATTCCAAAGAACGCTAGAAAGTTTGAATTTCGCAGGCCACCCTGGAGCTTCCACCTTAATATAATAATTTTTCCATAGTTGCCATATTTTTTGGCAGGTGGATTAGCAATGGCAGTTCTTTATTATTTGCAGTTGTCATGAGAAAGATACTGCTGCCCATCTCCTGTTTCAGTTTCCCTCTGACGGCTGCGAAGTAAATTATCTTATACTGCCACTATATGACATACACATGTATTATTTTAATAAGCTTTAGGTATAAGGGTATTACAGATTGACGACAATTTTAGATTCAATGTATATATTAAGTCAGTTGGCTTTGTTGTTCTTTACATTTTGTTATGTTTTTACTTTTCAATTTATTTATTTTTGCCTTATCTAAGTAGTTGGTAGGGATTTTGTGTTCAGAATTTTTATTACCATTCATAATTGATTTAAGTGTCAATGTGAGAAATTTTAGTAAACCCTACAACGTTATAGGATAAAAAGGCGGAGAAATTGCTTAATTTATTAGATTTTACAGTGTTGTTGTTCTATTGGTACTAGTTGGTCCGGTATACTGCGTTCTGCCCTTGCCAGGTGGCGAGATGAGTTTCACTCCAGGCTTTTTATTGTATATATATAAAATTTATTAACAACAGCAACACAGTGCTTTCTACAGATCCATAATAACTGTGAATATATATGAGTCATTTTGGCCTGGCATAGAATTTGTTTATAACTTGTCTACAGTTCCACCTACGAAATTATAAACCATATTTTTCGTTCGTCGACAAAAGAAATATATTATTGTATAGGTATATTACATAATCATTATATTTATTGGTGAAGTTGCTAAACATTACAATATTAAGGTAATACACATTAATGATAGATCATAAACATACATATTAACTCTCATGCCTGTCACCCAGAAGGGTAGACAGACTATGTACTTCCATTTGACAGGATCCTGACACAGGTCTTCTCCTTCATGTATCCTGTTGGTAAAGGGTATTCTTAATTTGGCCCATTTTCAATATATCGCCAATATGGCCAATAAACTTCCGTCTTGGGTAGCCCTTACTGACTGCCATTCACTTCTGTAATATAAATTTGCTTTTAATCCCAGTCATAACATCTTACAAACCCACACTTTACTCCTATAACACAATTACTCTGTCATTCAGTGTCCCCTCTACATACTCCTTAATAATCCGCATTTCTGCAGTATTTATTCTGCTCTCGTGCTTCTTTTAAAACAAGGATATAATTATAAATTAAATAATCAAAGTACGACACAACTTAGGGGTCAATGAATTGCTGTGTCTATTAAATAAATTCTGTGGGTACAAACATCTACAGTTTGCGCATGATCAGAATAACAAACCATATGATTCAGTATTACAAAAATGTATTGACTATGTTATGAGGTCAACATATTAGAATAGAAGAGTATGAGGTTGCAATATTTATTATTTTGAAAAAAAAAAGCAATTTTTAATATTTTCGCCTGTCTGTCTGTTTTTTTTATCTGATACTTTTATTTTAGAATAACAATTGGGATTCCGTGCAAAAAAATTAAAACCCATGAAATCGTAGTAAATTCCAGTCGCGGGGGACAGCTAGTTATTAATATACATAATTAGAGCAGTGGTAGCTCAAAACGTTAAGTTCTTGCAATAAATTTCTACTAGTACGCTAGCAATTAAATTGTTAATTGCAGTTTTATGTGCTGGTTTACCGCGTGGTCGACAGTGAAGAAAAAATCGTGAGGAGTACTGCGTGTCCACGTAATAAACATATTTCGAGGACACGTGAAGTTTTTATAACTGTTCCCAAATACCTGAAAATAATAAACCTAGCAAGCTAACAGCATAGCAAAGTGGCGAAGCAATCAGCTTTGTAGCGGTTTCTAACGGTTGCCGTTGAGCAATCAGTTTCAAAATAGGAGGTTCAGATGCCTGGGTGATCAGTAAGCGATTGCTGAAAACAGAATTTGAAAATTCAAAACCGTTCTCGAGATAATCGTGGGACAGACGGACAGACGGACAGACGGACAGACATCGTGAAATCAATAAGTGACTTCGCAAGTTTCGCCACTTAATAATGTGTGAAAACGATACGGTACTACTTGTAAATTGTAAGATTATTTTTTTTGTTTAACTTGATTTTCCCCGCAACTGCGTCCGCGTGGAACTTATTACGATTGGATTTCATGGGTTTTAATTTTTAGCGCGGAACCCTAATTATATTTATAAAATAATAGTACTCTAAGTTACTCCTTATCACATCAGCTATCTGCTAATGTGATAAGGAGAATGTCGCGTCAAAATCGGTCCTGCCATTTCGGATATTGACTGAAACAAACAGAATTTTTTATAAGAACCGTATATTATACATTCATAGCATTTAATAAAAAAGCTGTTTTTTTGACATTACAAACTGACACTTCAATTTTATTTATTTGCATTGAAACTACGTAATCGATTTTGATGGAGAACCTAATCTATAATTAATTACTTTGAAGAGGATGTCACCATTTATTTTTAAGATATGTAAGACAAAAGGTTAACTCACGTCACAGAATAAATAACAATACTTGAACGTAGAGATAAAATGTTGAAATTTTTAATTTAAAATATCGGATCTATAACAATATGAAAGTTCATAAATAAATCGGGTATTGGCAACACTATTCGTACTCCGAACATACTAATTGCATATATGAGTTGCCCTCTCATCACCTTACCATATTTTGTTTTAAATACAGACGTAATTTGATAGTAAAGTTATGATAATATAGATAAGTTAAATATAAATAATGCATGTAAGTAGGCATGATTTTTAAAGTCTTGTAAAACTAAATATACTACGTCGGACGTGATAACGGCACGTTTTAGTTTTAGTAATCAGTTTATCGATACATACATTGTATTATCATGTATCTAAGAAGGTCGCTCGGCATGGAATAGCCTCTGTTTTTTTACGTTGTTATTACAGTATTTTACCACGTTTTTATTAAGTCACTTTCTTGTCTATCTGTCGTGTCATTCCTGGTGGAATTTAGTAATTGATTTTAAACTAACTTCCCGATGAGCTGGAAACTTGATATTTTGAATAGAGCTCAAATTCGGATGACAATGCAAGAATATGATGAAAAGACATGGTAATTTTTTTTAATTTTTTAAAAAAATATCACTTGTTTACGTTGTGTTTTTTCTTGATAACTTTTATTCACTTTTACTAAAACTACTGTAATTATATTGCTGAAACTACTTTTAAATAGACTAAATGTATTTTTGTTTTAAATTGAAGCGACAAATGAAGTCCGCCTGATGGTTAAGTGGCTACTGCAGCTTAGATATAGCACAGCTACAGCTTAGAATATAGATTGTTGTCACTCGTAGGGCTAAAATGGTATACCTCATAAGGCATCTAATTATTAGATACATACAGCCTCCGTATACCCTATAGATCGAAAGAAAGAATTACTCGCATTGATGCTTAATGGCAGAAAAAGGAAGGGTGGTAACTATCTAGACTGACTCCAAGACAAAAATGGTACCACCTAGTAAACGTTTTATATAAGTAAGCGTGACAAACAAGCACACAGTCTACCTAAGTGAATGTTGTAACCTGTGGCCCTTTTCCTTCCACCGGCTACATTGGATATCTCCCGCCGGGCAAGGTGTTCTGCTCGGGGAGCGGCCAATGCTCCGAGTGGTATTTCGGAGCTATTCTATATATATACTGCTTTAACTCCGGAACTTTGTTAGCGCGATTTAGGCTTCGATATGTTTCGCTTGTGGCGCAATGACAGCGCCGCCACAAACTAGTGTTGCCCAAAATCGGTCTTGGTCTTGCAGTCTTGGTCTTGTTCTTGCATTTTTGCAAGACCAAGAACAAGACTGCCTCTTTTTAGCAAGACCAAGACCAAGACTGACCGTGCAAGATTTGCGCAAGAACAAGACTTAGCTTGCGAGACTCTTGCGTCTTGCAGTTAGGACTAAGTGTCGTTTCAGGGAGTATAGGATTTCGGGTATACGCTTAGGGACTCTATGAGACGCAAAAAATATAATGAAAAAAAAAATTGGAAAATAGGACTTATGCGCATTACGAACAATACCATAAATATACATAGCGAATGAAAATATCCATTAAAAGAAAAAAAGAGTGCATCCCTAGTTTTGACCATCGGCACTTTGATGGTGCGCGGCGTCATCAAAGGTCGGATACTGACCTGTCAAAGAAATTGTGCAGCTATTCGAAAGTACAAGGTCAAGATACACGTGCCGGCGGCTACTATTGATATCGCATACAATAGTCGCCGCTGCGCCACACGCACTACATTTGACACTGTTTGATTGCCGCCACAGAGTACATGTTTCAAAG